GCAGTGTCACTGGCCCTCATATGTGGGATCCGAACCGGGGCCCTCTGGCATCCCAAGCCAGTTCTTAACCATCGCGCCACTCGGCCGGCCCAGGAGATTTTCTTTACAGAAGCTTTGAGGATGTGGCTCGTAGGGTCAGGGTGTGCACTCTGCCTGGGTCGGGGGGTCCCACATTTCCCACTCTATGGGGACTCGCCACATCCCTATTCTTTAAAGAGCTGCCCCGAGGAACACTCAGACACTGACTTCACTTATTCCACAGGAGACTGACAAGCCGGCAGCACAGCCTGATCCTGAGCTATGCCGAGGATGAGACCGATGTGGAGGGGACAGTCAATGGCGTCACCAACACAAGCACTGGTAAGGTGGCACGTGGGCATCCCCAACCCCTCGGAGGATGGGTGGCCTGGAAGCATGTCGGGGTTACTACTGGAGAATCTTCATGGAGCCTCAGAGAACACAGGAGAAACGGGGGAGCTGAGGGCTCAGAGCACAGCTGCTCCTCCCTCCTGTGTCAGAGAACCGGCCAGCTTCCCGCCAGACAGCAGCCCTATGTGTCTCAGAGCTGCTCTTCTGAGTTCTAGCCTTGGTTCTGCCACTCGCCTTGTGACCTTGGGCACATCCCCACATGAGAGCTCCTTGTAGCAACTTAAGGAGAAGATGGATTGTTTGGAAGGCTTTATACATTCCTGACCCAGAATGCTTCACCAAGATTGCAGTGTCTTGTAAACATCAGCTACCGCAGCAATAAGAAACCATGGTCACATGACTCCAAATATGCCTGTTCTCTGCGGGTATAACTTTGAATCCCTTTGGCAGTGAACAAATGCTTTATTTACCCTGAGCTCAAATGTCATGCTCTGTCGGCAGAGTGTAGTTAAATATTAGTGATTTGAGACCAAAATGCTTGCAGGCAGAAGCTTTGCTGATGGGAACCGTGGCCGCAGCCCTCTTCCCATGTTCCCATGGGATGGGGGGGTGCTGTGCTGTGTTGGTGCTGGTTCTCTGCTGATTTGGCTCCTGCTTGGTCAGGACAGGCTGTGCCAAGGGTTTAATTGGTTTCAGCTGCACAACATGTTTCCTCGTTGCATCATTTTGTTTTTGTCTGGGTTCTGGATGCTCCTCTGGCATTCTCAGAACTTGAATGATAAGAGATTAGTAAAGGGTCATTCAGAGCAGGCAATTGGAGCTGGGGGTGGGTAGATTTCACAGTGAAGTGGAGGGTTTGGTCTTGGAGCTTCCCCCTCCTCCCCGGGGTTGGGGGGTCCCCACAGTAGCAGACTTTGCCGAGTTCCTATTGAGTCCAGGGAACCAAGTCCTCTGAAAAAGCAGCTGCCACAAATCCTGCCTATAGGCTGACCAAGCATGCATCGGGCACTTGTTTCAAATAGTTTGGATACATAGACTTTCCCTTTATTTTCTTGTTGTGTCCTTGAGCTAAAAAGAAGTGGGAATAGTTATTCTGCATAACTCTTAATCGTGCATGTCCAGCTTTCCTTCCTGAATCTCAGATGCTCCCACAGTCATGCAGCAGGTGAGATGGGTTCTGCCCACTAGGAACTCGAGGTCGGCCTGAGCTGAGCCCTGTGCGAGGACATGGGCCTCGTTCACCACGTTAGAATGCTAGGCGTTCGTTAGTGGTCACAAGGTGTTGCTGTTTTAAATTCCTTGCTGATAGCGTAAATTGAGTTGATCACACAGTCAGCTTATGCGTGTCCTTAGAACCCTCATTATTTTCATAGGTCCTTGTTCTGATAGCTGATTCCCTCTTGCTTCGTTCAGCCAGGATTTATTGGGAGCCTCCTGTGTGCCTGACACTTTGCCGGTTCTTTCTTTTAAACTTTTATTGGTATAATTATGCTGAGTCTAGCTTAACTTTAATATATGCATTGGATGCATTTCTGAAAAGTTGTTTATACAGTGAAATGGATATGCCAGATTGTTTTTTTCTACTCTCATTATCACTTTAGTGTTGTATTCCAGTGGGAAGTACGGATCCGAGACTTAATTTTTTATTTTTTTTAAATAGCATTTAAGAATCTTAGAATTGGTTTTAAAGAACGCACTGTCAGTCTGCTGCCTGGGTGTGGTTAAGTCTCTCTCTGCACTGTGAAGGAAGTTACTTTTGCAGTCCACATAGGAAAATAGGAAAGTACATATAATCCCATTTTCTGACACCTTCACTAACAGTGGGTCCTATTTATTTAAGTAGAGCCTCAGTCTCTTGTATTTCAAGCATTCAACAAAACGTATTCACCAAAGTTATGCTGGAAGCAGTTGCATTTAGTTATCAGTGGTGCCTTGGATAAAGTGTGCTCTTTTCAGATCCTCTTAAGTACATGGGAGTGAATCATTACAGACCGAGGACAGTCGTTGCAAATATGGATGGATTCCTGGGTATCTTTGCTTTCGTGACAGGAAAGGGTACCTAGAAGGCATTTGCAATAGATACAGTCACATAGGAAACCTAAAGTTTTGGGTGGGTTTAGTATCCTTTGTTTATTTTTGTTCTCTAACGCAGCTGCTGAAAACCTTAATGTCTGACCCGAGCTTCTTTCCCGGTCTGCGCTTAAGCAAAGAGACACAGGGAATCGGGGCACTCTGAGGTTAACTGCGTGACTTTTTGAGTTAGAGACATAGTGTAGCTCCTTGGTTGTGTTTCTGGGTCATCATGAATTCTTCTGACAACACATGAACTACATTTAGCTATAACTGTAGCAACCCATTCCTGAGCTCATTATTTGGGAAGTCCACCTGCTGGTGCTCTTCTCTGAAGTGATTGACAGCGCTGACCACAGACTCCCTTTGTGCAGGGCAGAGGCAAGAGGAAGATGAGGGAAAAGACACGTTAGTAGAGTGAGAGGCGCTCTGCCAGCTCAGCCTGTGTGCGCACGGCTCAGGGAAGGAGGCTGCGAGACTAGACCTGTACCTCCATCTGTGTGGTGGCTCCAGTCCTCAGAAGTCAGATCCCGGAGTCTTGTCGGCCTCTGTTCCTTCAAACCAACATTCATCTAGCATTTACTGTGTGCTAAGAAGTGATGCACAGAGAGACAGGGTCTCTGCCCTCATCAAGCTGCAGTATAAGCGGAAGACAGGGCAAGCATTGAACCCCCAAATAAGTGCTAGACCTTTCTTATAACACTAGGAGTTTGACCCAAAAAAGTGGCACAGATTCATGCAATGAATGTTATCTGCCTATTCTTCCCTTGGCATCCTTGTGTATAGCCATCAAACAGTTCTAACTTGGAATCCCTGACGGTAGTAAGTACAGTGTTTCTTCCCCAAGTTTCCAGCACCTTGCATAGCCCCTGGCCCGAGGCTGGTTCATGGTAAATGTTGGCTGAGTTAATTCAAATTAATTTTCCTAACCATTGGCTGGGAAATGCTCTGAGGGAGAGAGAAACATGACCCCGTCTGATAAAGAGTCCTGTGGCCTCAGACTCAACCTCTGTCTGTGGTTGGCTGAGCAGCTCCTCTGGCTTCAGTCGCCTGAAAGTGTAGATTAGAAATCCCTGTTTGGCTGGGGTGGACTTTCACCATGGGGCATTTCTTGTTTATTCTAAAGTGCAAAAATCATGTATCGTTGCTATTGAAAGCAGCTTTGGAAATACAGCACTATTGTTTGTATCTTTTTTTTTTTAAAAGATTTTATTGGGGAATTGGGGGGAGGGGAACAGTGTCGGGGAATCGAGGAAGGGGAACAGACAGGTAGACAAATTGCTGTTTTTGTTCTTCAGTCTAGTTGTGGAGGACGTCGCTTCACTGGCCCATGTTGGTATGATCATTGTGCTCTTCCCCGGTGAGGCAATCGGTCGCTGGTCATTGGTCGGGTGCTCACAGCGTCTCCTGGCAGTTCACACCAGCTGGCTGGCCGCTCACACTGGCTGCCAGCCACTCACGTAGCTCACGGCAGGCAGCCCCGCTGCAGCCTGCGACTCACAGCAGCCTAGCTCCAGGTCGAACTGTTGTTCATCATCTTAGCTGTAGAGGGCGAGCATCACTGGCCCTCAACGTGGGATCCAAACTGCAGCCCTGCTGCTCAGAGCTGGCACTTCCAAGCAAGCTCTTAACCAGCTGAGCCACTCGGCCGGCCTTGTTTGTATCTTGTAATGAGACCAGAGCATACCTAAGTGCCCGGGACATTCCGTAAGGACACGTTGCTCCTCCTATCCCAGGCTAGTCCTCAGAGAAATCAGGCCTGAAAGACAGAGAGAGAGAGGGAGAGGGGGAGGGGGAGAGGAGTCATATATGTATTTATAGCCTTTGTCACCTATGTGCAGAAGTTCACAGTTTATTTCTAACAGTTGGTTCAGAATTTAAATTCAGTGCTTATATCCTCCGATGTCCTGGCCAGTAAATATTCCTGAAGGAGCCCAGACCCATTTTAGCCAGATTTAAAATAGAAAGAGAGCGGTGAGACTGTGCTCCTGGTGGTAAGGGATGAGGAGAATTTCTGGGTACGTGTCTGTTTTGTTGTTCGTTTGTTTGTTGTGAATTATTAACCAGCTAACCAGGTGCTTGTTCTGACTCCCCCAGACTGGCCACCGTGGCTCACATACCACCGTGGTCAGGGGCACCACCACTTCCACCCTTCCATGGGGTGACTAGTTCAGCAGTGTTAGGGGAGGCGCGTGATGGCAGTCGCTGAGTGTTTTTGTGCCTCATTGTGACTGTAGTTAAGAGCTTGGGTTCTGATATCAGAAGATTCACATCCCAGCTATGCCATTATTAGCAGTGAAGCCTTAGGCAAATTACTTCACCTCTCTGCGCCTCAGTTTCTTCATCTGTAAATTGGGAATAATAGTAGCACCTGTTTCATAGGGTTCTACATGATTAAATGAGATCACATAGGTAGAACTTTCAGCGCAGTACATAGCCCATGTTAAGAGCTCCATCAGCTGTAACTTCTAGTGTGATACATGCAAGTTCACACGTGCGTGCATACACATGAAGATTTGCCGTCCCCTTTCCAAGGGCATAATGAAATCCAATACTCCTGCTCTTCATTGTTCTAGGAGGCCCAAGAGTGATGGGAAATCTCTGGTTAATGATCCCTTTGTGTTAGGAGAGTCCTTTTTGTCACTTAAGCCTTTATTAAGGAAAGGGGACATGAGGGACTGAGGGGAGGGTACACCTGGCAATGGCCTCTCACAGGGACCTGCTGTGCTGACTGTGCGGTGCCTGGGTCCTCGACTGGAGAGCCCTGGGAATTGGGGGTCACCCAGTCGCCCTGGCTTTGGTGATTGATTGCTCAGACTTTGGTTAGCACCTCCTTGTTCAGGGCCACACCACTCTCTGAGGACATTCCTGAGCTCTGACAGCATTCCAGTCCAGAGGACTGCCCAGGGGCTGGACCTAGGATCTCAGCTCACCCCTGCTGGGGGCCTGTTGCCCCAGGCCTCTCGCTGAGGAAGGTGTCTGAGACTGAGATCTTGGGGACTGTGACCATTTTTTCCTCTGCTATCCACTGTGCTTGGCATACCTCTCTTAGCACGTTAAAAATGTGCCCTACAATTAAAAATGTTGAGTACAGGTCTGTCGTCTAACTCATAACAAAAGTTTGCCGTCCTTGTCTAGTGGTTGGCAGATCTTTAAAATGATGCGTTTGTGCAGCACAGTTGCTCTTGGTAGTCTCAGCCTGGACCCTAAAGAAACAGGGAGCAGCCTTCCTTTATCTGGAGCATTTAGGAGTAGATGCCCCCAGATGGGGAGAGCTTGCCCAGTGACATACGGGGTTCTCCGTTGCCATCATTGCAGGTAAGAAGTGCACATGTCCTGGGATTCTGAGAGGCAGTGAGTCCCTCCCTGAGTATCCCAGAGACGTGCACATGTACAGAGTGTGGAAGCTGGTCGGTTGGTCTCAGCGTGTGTTCATCACCTTCTTAGAGCCGTTGGCATGGTGGTTAAGAGCCGGGGCTTTGGGGTCCGACTGCTTGGGTTTGAACTCAGTTCTCCCCTCCCACTTACCTTAGGCAAACCACCTAACCTCTCTGTGCCTTCTTCTTTTTTTAATGGTGACGTTTACCTGTAAGGCTATCCTAAGGATTAAATGAGCTAATGTGGAAGCTTTGTGGCCTGGCCTGGAAGGCATCTGGCACTGTAGGCTATATTTTTGTTACAGTTGGTAAGATAGAGGCAGCTGGTAGTTGTCCGGCTCTGTTTTTTATTTCCGTCTAGTGGGTCAGTGACTTGGGGAGCAGTTGGGATACACTAAGGTGCTGAGTGGCTTGTTTGCTTCAGTGATCTGAAAAGGTGAGGCAGCCCTGGCCAATCTGGGAGCGGTCCCCTCTTCTCTCAGGATGGTGCTTGGTGGCCCCTTGAGTGATGAATTCCTGGGTGGCCAGGTGGGGGTAGGCGGGGCCTGGGATGGGATACGTGGAGGTGTGCACCCTTGACCCCAGTTCTTTCTGCTGTTTGTGCCCAGGTGGCAGCACCATGGATAGCTCCGCAGGAGGCAAGGCTAGGCCTGAGGCTGGGGAGGACAAGGAGGGATTCCTTTCCAAACTTAAGAAAATGTTTACCTCCTGATACCCAGCCGAGGTAGGAAAACCCTTGAGGTTTCTCCCCTTTGTTTCCCTCTGTGAACTAATCCCTGTTTTCCCTCGTTTAACCAATCTAATCCCCCCGCTCACACACACCCGCCCTGGAGTTGGAAGAGGTGCCAGTCTCAGGCGAGGTGTTTCTGGCTCCCCTTGGAGCTAAGCCTCTAGGCCCATGGAGACACCTGCATAGGTAACGTGGCAGCGTCAGCAGCAGTGCAGGGCTGAAGCAGACTGCAGTGAGAGGCTGCACTGGGGGCTGTTCCCCAGCCCTCCCTCCACCAGCTCCCAGGGGCGCTGCATCCCACGATGGTGGGAACCAGGTTGCCCACGGTCACAGAGCATGAGTCATAGCAGAGCCAGGCCTAGAACTCAGATCGCCCCAATTCCCCGCCTGCCTCATAGTGCCTGTCCTGCCTGGGGGCATAGGGCTGTGGAACTTCAGGGAGGGATGCCGGGAGTCATGCTTGCTCACTGTGGGGTCTCGGGACCCACCTTTTACTTGTGCATGTTCCTAATGGCATAGCTCCTGGCATAGCCCCTTCACAGGGATGATAGAAGCTCACCCATAGGGGTGTGCTGCTCTTGCCATGCCAGTGAACCGTAACCGCTTATGTCTTGGCTCAGGAAAACGGTCCACTGGAAACTAGGCCAGGAGCAGCGGGCCCACCTCGTGGCCAGGGCACCTCGGAGACAGGAGAATTCCAGAACAGCAGCACCGAGCGCTGCCTGCAGAGGCCCTCTGGACCGCCTTGGCAACAGCAAAATCATGTGACAACACACCTCTCCACAGAATGGTGATGGTGGACAGCCCCTGGGCAGTAAGGCGTGGCATGCCTAAGGGCTGGTAGAAGTTTCCTGTCCACGGGTAGGTAACTCGGCCTCCTCTGGCTCAGACCGTAAGACAGCTGGACACTTCTTACAGAGCCAAAACTCTAATTTGGAATCAAATGTGGCGGAAATCTTAGTAAAGAATTAAAGGCCATGCTTACAGCTTAAAAATGAAGCCTTAAGCTGCACCAAGTTGTGAAGTGGTTAATTTCCCCCTCATCAAACCTGTGGGAGGTTCTGAGATGAGTCTTCCCTGACAGGTTGTCTTTTCCAGGAACTTGGGGCCTGCAAGCCCCACCAGCATTGTCCACCCTTCAGCAGGGGCATCTATTCCTTGCTCTTCTTGAAGTTTTATTTTAATTCCCAAAGGTACCAAGCAGCTGGAATATGGGGGCCTTGGGACCCGGGGAGGCACATACGAAGAGGGTCCCCGGACATGCTGCTCCTGACATGGGCTGTGATCTTTGTTGGGACGGACAGTCCCCCCTCCCACCCCACTAGGGTGGCCTCTTGTCCCTGACTGTTGAGTTCTGTTGTTCCGAGGCCGGCATGAGTGGGGCTCCTGCCCTTCTGCTGGACCACAGGCTTCCCTGGCCACAGCCTGGGCCAGACTAATGGCCTCTTAAGCCCGGAGCCCTGCCCCCGCTGCCTGCCAGGGCTTGGTTCTTACCACTTACACTGTCGACACCTGTTTTCAGAAGTGTGTTTAAATTATTCAATGCTAAGAATCATTGTCTTTTCCTGTATAAATGTTGAGAAGAGGACAGTATAGTCTAAGCAGTTGAAGGCTCTCCACCATCTAGCCAGAGCAAAACAGTTTCTCCAGCCTCAGCTTGTAGGATGTGTGGGTTCCATGTGTTTCCAGACCCTCCTGCTGTGGTAAGAGAGGTTAATGGAGAACACTTACAAATAGTTTCCTTTTTGTTTTCCTTCATAATTTACTAAAATAAAGCATCTATTAATGTCTGATCTAAGAATGTAAAATGATTCTGTATCAATGTAAATAAGAGTATCTACTGCAAAAAGATATTTAAAACCTACGTGTGGTCATTTCTTCTTTGGAAGTTCAAGCAGCTTTCTACAAGTGGCTTAGCAGGGGCATGTGGTGTTCATCTGCAGATCGGGCCGCCCCATGTTGCTGCTGGCCTTCCTGGGGCCGGTTGGAGAGGTGGCTGGCCTTGTCCATGGAGTCATACCTACCTAAGGGTACACACACACACCGAGGGCTGGGTGGTGCTGTGACAAGCGCTGACCCTCTCCAGCCCAGATCCCAGAGCAGGGAGCTTGCCGTAAGACGACATGCTGGTTTGAATGAATGTTGTAGAAGTTGGTATGAAGTTGCTTCTTTGGAAACACACACTGAGAGCTGTGCAGTGCAGCCTCTTTAGGTCCCTACAGATCACTGTCTCCCTCACTAGATTTTTTCCCCCTTCGTTATTTTCAGAGGAATAGTAACATACTTTTTTTTTTTTTTTAAAGATTTTTATTGGGGAATTGGAGGGAGGGGAACAGACAAGTTGCTGTCATTTTGTTCTTCAGTCTTGTTGTGGAGGACGTTGCTTCACTGGCCCAAGTTGGCACCATCATTGCGCTCTTCCCGGGTGAGGCACATCAGTCACCGGCTTCTGGACGGGCGCTCACTGCGGCTGCTGGCCGCTCACGCTGGCTGCTGGCTACACACGGTAGCCCATGGCAACCCACTGCCACAGGGGCTGCAGCCCACGCCGCTGGTGACTCACGGCCGCCCGGCTCCAGGTTGAGCTGTTGTTCAGCATCTTAGCTGTAGAGGGCAGTGTCACTGGCCCTCATATGTGGGATCCGAACTGGGGTCCTCTGGCATCCCAAGCCAGATCTTAACCAGTGCGCCACTCGGCCGGCCCAGTAACACACTTTTTGTGTTAAAATGTTTACTCATTGTAATATGACTAGTCTGGGCTCCTAGCAGAGACTGTCAAAAAAGCCCCAATCCCGGCATGGCTGCAGTGGGCCCCGAACACATTGCTCAAACTGACCCCAGGTTCTGGGCTGAGCAGCTTGGGGTGTGAGCGCACTCACTGGGTTGGGTGAAGAGGCAAAGAACTGATGGGCAAGTAAGGGGCTCAGCAGTGACCTCCTCCCAGTTTCAGGCACTTCTTCATTCAGCGGACATTTATTGAGTGCCAGCTGTAGTCTCACAGCATGGGCCCAGCACGATCCCAGACCCGGGTAGAGTGGCAGGGAGCTAGGCAGGGTCTTGTGACAGCTTAGGTTTCTTCCTGGAAAAGTCGACTGAGTCCCACTCATGTCCTGTCTTTTGAAAGAAGTCTAGAGGAAGACTTGAAAAGAGATAGGTGGGCTTCTTGCTAGCGAGACTCTTGCTGCTGTACTGAGGCATCTTTACCTAGGATGTTGGAAGGTGGCAGTACAAATCTGTAGCATCAAGTCCCACTCAAGGCTTGGATTGGGCTTATTTCCATGGCTGGCTCCTGAGGCATTTGTCGCCAGACAGATTTGCAGCCTCTGAGTTGCGGCTGGAGCATGAAATGAGGCATTGAAAAAGACAAAAAAAGTATCTCTAGGCCTCTGAGCCTTTGGGGATTGAGAGGAGGGGTTAAGTAGACAGGAGTTTAGCATTTGCTGAAATGTTAGGAGGATGGGCGAGGGAAGGCAGTCACGTGGGATGAGGCCGACTTGGACAATGGACCTCGTCTCCATCCCCACCTGCAGACCCTACTCTGATTGGTTTCCCACCTGAGCCATCCTCCTCAGGCCTTTGGGTTCTGGTGGACTGAATGCTTCCTTCCCTGTCATGAAGTCCCCACTTGGTGTACAAGCATCTCTTCAATCCCACAAGCCTCTTAGCTGCCCCTGCATCTAGGGACTGTCCCTGCCCTTCACTCTGTAACACTGGAGCCCATCAGTGAATCCTGAATGGTATGAGCAGTGATGGCTTTTGCAGAAGGCATGTTTTAGCACACTTGTTTGTTAATAAACACTGAACCCTGCACTTTATGTCTTTTAACCAGAAGTTCTGCTTATTTGGCATAATCCTAGTGAAGGGTCACACATGGGCTGGTCAGGAACTTGACGTTAAGATGCAAACTGGGTTCTGATCTGCAGTGCCCAGAGTCAGTGGGGAGTGGCAGAGGTTGTGGCTGCCCTGTGTAAAGGGGACAGTCACTCTTCAGCTCCACCCAAGGTGGGGGAGGGGGAGATGCCTCACAGGAATTCAGACCCAGTGCTGCCAGATCTTCTGGTGCTTTCCAAGAGAAGCTGGGCATCCAGAGTTTTATGTGGAGGTTTTAGTTACCTCATTTTTGGGTTAACCACTTTATTGAGATATCATTTATGTATCAATTATATATTCAGTTCACCCATTTAAAATGTACAGTTTCATGGTTTTTAGTTCAAGGTTATGCAACCATCATCATAGTCAATTTTAGAACATTTTCATCACCTCAGAAAGAAACTCCATATCCATTAGCAGTTACTCCCTGTTTCCTCCCAAATTCCCTAATCTCTGGTAACCACGAATCTGCTTCCTGTCTGTATGGATTTGCCTATTCTGTGCATTTCGTATAAATGGAATCATACACTATGTGACCTTTTGTAGTTTTTTCTGGTTTCTTTAGCATAATGTTTCAAGGCTGAATAAATTCCATTTTGTGGCTGAATAAATTCCATTATATGGATAGACCACATTTTTTTTCCATTCATTGGTATATATTCGGGTTATGTCCACTTTTTGGCTATTGTCAATAATGCTGCTATGAAAGTTTCATTTTAAAGTGTTGGCAGCTACTTACATGAGGTACTTGGAAGAGCCAAGCTCATAGAGACAAAGTAGAAGAGTGGTTGCCAAGGGCTAGAGGAAGGGAGGATGGGGAGTTAGTGCTTAATGGGGACAGGATTTTCTTTATAGGTGATGATAAAGTTCTGGTGATGGATGGTGGTAATGGCTGTACAGCACTGTGAATGTACTAAATGCCACTGAACTGTACACTTAAAATGACTACGATGGAACATGTTATGTGTATTTTACCACAGTTAAGGAAATAAATGTTGGGGCTGGCCAGTGGCTCAGTTGGTTAACAGCGCAAGCTCTGAGCAACAGGGTCGCTGGTTCGATTCCCACATGGGCGAGTGAGCTGCGCCCGAGCTGAGCTGCCTCTGAGCTGTCAACAGGTGGCAGGATGGCTCAGCTGGTAAGACACGTGCTCCTAACAAGGATGCCGGTTCAACTCCCACATGGGATGGTGGGCTATGCCCACCCACAACTAAGATTGAACACGGTACCTTGAGCTGAGTGGCCATGAGCTGCTGACAGGCATCCCAATGGTGACTGGACTTGGAGCTGAGCTAGCTGCATCCTCCACAAATAAGATTGAAGGACAACTTGGCTGTCCCCCTTCCCCAATTCCCCAACACTGTTCCCCTTCCCCAATTCCCCAATAAGAAATCTTAAAGAAAAGAAAAGAAATGTTGGCAAATAACTAATGTATTTCAGGGACCAAATTTCAGAAGACCAGGCACACATGGCAGTGCTCTGATGGGGGCTTGTGCTGGAAACACCTCAGCAAGCAGGATGATGTGCTGGGAGTCGTCCCCTCCGTGTGGTGTAACCCACACGTGCTCTCTTCCTGTAGTGACTGACATGCAGTCAGGGAGAAGTATCCTGGGCCAGGCAGGGCACTGTGATTTCAGCATCCAGGATGGGCAGAGGGGCTTTCTCCAGCTACATTTGGGTGTTTCCAAGAGACAAGGGTAGCTAGCGGGTGGACACAAATAGTCTATTACAGGTTAAATGGTTTAAAATACTAGGATTGCTATATTTTAGACTAATTTTTTTAGAACAGTTTTTAGGTTCACAAAAAATTGGGAGGAAGGTAGAGATTTTCCAGCTACCTCCTGCCCCCCCCCACATGCACAGTGTCCCCCATTATCAAGCCTCCTACCCATTAGAGGGGTACATTTGTTACAATTGGTGAACCTACATTGACACGTCATTATGACCCAAAGTCCATAGTTTACAATAGGGTTCACTCTTGGTGGTGTACATTTTAGGGGTTTCAACAGATGTGTGACAGGAGTGTCACACAGAGTGGTTTCACTGCCTAGGATTTGGATTTTGGGCGCAGTGTGGATAGTTCATTGCACATGAGGCATCCTGAATTGTGCACGGTCTGTCCACTTCATTGGATTTGGGACATGGGCTGTCCACACCATGGTCATCTGTTTTGGCCACACCTGGGATGGGGGCCAGTGGGTACCACCCATTAAGAGGGACAGGAACAAGCTGAAAGGCACTGGAGGCTAGCAGGGTTTGACCAGTGTGTCAGACAGGAGGAGGGAGAAGGTGACGGGGTGTCAGACACTGCTTTGGACAAATGACCTCAAGGTGCCCTCACAACAGCCTAGCCAGGCAGCACCAGATAAGCAAACAGAATGGAAGGGTTAGGTATTGTGCCCCGGTCCTGCCACTTGTGGTTGAGGAGCACCTGGAGCCCGATGTCAGCTCGCTGAAGTTTGCTCTGTACCTGGACACAGTGGCTCTTCCCCGGCTCTACTGATCTTGGCCACTCCAGGATCTGGACATAGTGAGTCATAGCTCCAGGCAGGGAAGTTGCCCACCCTGGGGCCTGGGGGACGTGAGCATCACACAGGACTGGATGCAGATGACCGCTCATGTTCTCTTGCTGACCTGAGTGGCTTAGAAGCCAGCACTGTTTCGGTGTTTTTCCCTCCTACCCTGCCTCAGAGGCTCACTGCCCTCCCTGCAGACCTCAGAGGCCGTCCCCATCCCCACTAAAATGGGCCCTTCCTCCAATAGTTAATTCCACCTGTTCTCTGCAGCCCTATGCCAACCTGTAATTATTCATTGCATATTTATGCAGAAAGTGCCAAAAAAAAAAGGTTTACACATTTTAAGAAAGGAAAAAAACTATTAAAATTGTAATATAGACCGATAACAAAAGATGAATACAAGTCATGTGTATACATTTTTTTGGCACCCCCGGTATTTGGATCTCCCACTAACCTAAACTCCTCAAGGCAGGGGAGCATAATTTTTTTGGTTAACATTGTATTTAGGGCCCAGCACACTGCTAAACTATCAAATGGTTTTCAATTAAATCAATGAACAGATCTAACAAATTTGGTAGAACTGCCACCCCTTTTCATGACTCTGCGGGTTCCGAGGCCAGAGTGGAATGGTAAAAAGATCCATGATAGAGGTTACACAAATCCACAGAAGGCAAAAAGCCTGCCACGGGACCTCGGGCCATGGGACCTTGGGCGAGTGGCCTGTGTTCTGTAGGCCTTGGTTCCTTTTCTCTCTAGCAGGGAAATGGAAGGCTGAACCACTCCTGCCATCCAAGTGCCTGGTGGACACTACAAGCCTTTGCTGCAAGCAAAGTCACCTTTTCTCATCAGTGTCCAATTATGGTGACCTGTGGTCAACAGATCTGCCACATTCTTTTGTGCATTTTTTTCCCAGCCTGTTTTAAACTTCACCCACATCTTGAGGCTGCACCCCAGGGCAGGCCCCACCCAGAAGGAGGGTGAGGAGAGAGTAAGGGAGAAGGGACCAGTCTTGCCCTCAGACTCAAGGAAGGAATACACCGGTGACCTCACTAGCTTTCTGGAGATGAAGGGTGTTATGTGCAGGGATGTCCAAAGGCATGGCTCCTGGCTGACATGGGGAGTCCTCCGTGTCCTGGACTCACACTCTGAATGAATTTCAAATGGAGACAGGGTGGTCAGAGCTGCTCCATGAGCTGTGGTTACAGCGCTCCATTTCACACCTATTGGACTAAAAACTGCATCGAAATCCTGTGTGTTCAGCTACCCAGTGCCTCTTCCGCCCTCACACCCCCTCATTGCCAGGGGGAAGGCACTTGATGCCTCCTGTTGGAATCCGTGCCCCAGCAGCTGCCACGCCAGCCCAAGCCCAGGAACAAAGCCCCTTTCTTTTGGAAGCCATCTGTGAGAACAATGGTCTTTATTCAAAAATAATTTTTTTTGTAACATAAGAAAGGATCACTGTGACTGTGCTTCCCATCCCCCAAGATGGGGCTGAGAGGTGGGCAGGGTCACAGCCTGGCGAAGTCCCCTTTGTGTTGCTCCAGCCACTGATCCAGCGTCCTGGCCTTGGGGTTGAGCCTCAGGGTCAGTTCAATGTTGCGGTCGGGTTTCAGGGCATAGAAACGGAACATGTTGGCCAGGTCTTGGGCACCTGGGAAGCCGAGCTTCTCGTAGTCCTCAGGAGTTGTCTGGAAGCAGAGGAGAATCCGTGAGGGTCCGTCAGCATCTCAGCACCTGGCTGAGGTAGTGGGACCTGGGGGGCACTTCAGTCTCTACCAAGTTCGTCTGAAAACCATTCTAAAAAAGATGCAAGCTCAGAAACCACTGCTCTAGGTCAGTTTAAATCCTGTTCTTTCACAATCTCAAGATAACTTCTCAGTTCCTTCCAAATCAGAACTCTGCTTACATCACTTCCTTGCTCAAAAACCAAAGCTGTTCCCCTTTTCTGGCAGAATTGGATTTGAATACCTCAGCTGCTCAAATCCTCCACAACCTGCCTCCGGCCTTTCTTTGTGTGAACAGTGTCACACAGTCACTTAGTGCCTGTTTTCTAGTGCACATCATTGTGCTAAGGGAGCTTCTACATCGATTATTCCAGTCAATCCTCACAACAACCCAAGCAGGGGACACTATTCACACACCTATTTTACAGATGAGGAAACTGAGGCAGAGAGCGGTCAGGAACCGTGCCCCAGGTTACACACTGGTGGGACCAGGATCCAAGTCCAGGGGTCTGACCCGAAACCGCCCCCATCATTGCTCTGTTTGGGTCGGGGGATCTACATGTGACTTTTGTCTTTTAACACCTTGGCGTTTCCCAGATTTTCTTTAATAAGGTCTTACTTTCATGATGGGAAAGACAGGAAACGAAGCACCCGGGGGTCTGGACAGGAAGACTGAAGGTCATCAAGGAGAGGAGGGTACTGTGGGCCTCCTGCCCACCCATCCAGACCAAGTATGTGCGAGGGTGTGGAGGGGGCCTACCTGTCCCACCTCCTCCCGCTTCCCTTCCCTCAAGTCACATCCCAGAGAAGCCCAGCAGCCCTGTGTTTTCACTGCTGGTCTTGGCCCCTACTGTCCCCTCTTCCTGGAAACTGTCCTCCCCACTTGGTCAATTAATTGCCCAAGCTGGAAATTTCACTCAGCAGCCACACTTGGCTCCCAACAACAGCATGATGTGAATGCTCACAGTTGTGATGAATCCAGATTCACCTTGCCCTAGATACCCCTGCCTACTATCCACAGAGCCCTCCCGGGGGGTTGGAATGACCGACCCGGGGTGAAGGGGCCCACCTGGGCGTCGCGCACAGCCTTTCCAGTGTGCTTGGAGAGCAGATCAGCGTACTCCGCCGCCGTGTGCCTGCAGGTACTGAGCCCGAGGTTCTGGCCGACGTATTCTGGCATCTTCAGCAGGCTGAGCACCACAGGGCCCAGGTCAGCGACAGACATGCCGTCCATGGGTACGTCACCCATGGGCAAGCCTGGGGGTGGGGGGAGAGGGACATGTTGGCACGGGGCATGTCCCTGCATGGACAGCATGCCCTTTGCTGAGGGGTAGAAGCTGGTGTTCCCACCAGCCAACCCACTGGACATCTGCACAGATCAGCACCTGGCACGACTTGGTCACCTCCTGGTGTCTGTGTCAGAGCAGAAGCAGTAGTGGAACTGAGTCAGGAAACGGGATGCGAGCCTAGCTCTGCCCCCTTGGCGCCCTGTTTAAACTCTCTGATCCTAGGTCATTCCATTCTTAGAGGGGGGACAAGAACCCTGGACCTGCCCACCCCTTCCAGGGCTGAGAGGGGACAAGAGACAAGAAAGGAATGGGGCTTCAAAAGGTCTCCCGAGAACAAGTTGGTGCCCTGGGGCCCCACTGCCCCCAAGGCTCAGGCCCCAGTGTACTTCATCACATCCTGAATTCCTGCTGTGGAAACCTGTGGGTGGGTACTCCAAATACCAGCTCTACTGACAGGAATGTCTGACTAGCTGAGGCCAGGGGCTGGCCCAGAGCAGCGCGTGGCAGATGTTCATTAATTCCTGTTGAATTAATGAGTGACTACCTGCCAAGTCATGGTTTTGTAGATGGAGAGGGACAGACAGCAGTGTTTAGATGTGGCTCCCAGAGCGCTTGGGTCCTGACATTTCCTCACCTATAAAAAGGGGCCACCACAGCTGCCCATTTGTATCACTCAGGGACCTTGTGGAGATGGAGCTCCAACTCAGAACACAACTATGCAAACTATAAAGGGCGGTGCCCAAATGCCAACACCAGGACCAGGCTGCTTACTGTCGGGGAGGATGGAAGCAAGAGCAGCCTGCGTTCACCCAAAGGGTAAGGCCGACCAGCCGAGGACACTCCCCCCTCCCCCTCTGGCCTCTTGAGCAGCCTGCTGTTATCCACTGGCTGACCAGCAGGACGCAAGTATGTAAGGTTCCCTCTGAGTCAGGGTCCAGTGCATCCAGATTTGCAAATGAGTACTGAGAAGAAAGTGCTTCGCATGTTGTGAAATCTATACCTGGGCCTCGTCTTCCAAGTCCTCTCCTTACCTTGGCAGGAGAAGTAACCATAACTGCACTTGTCTCTAAAGCTTTCCACCAGACAAAGCCACATCACCATACCTTGGTAGAAATTCTCATCGCCCCTTCACAAGTCAGTGTTGTTATGCTCATTTCAGAGCAGGAAGCAGAGGCCTTTGCTCAGTCACAGGCCTAACGTGACAGAGCCAGGACTCGGGCCCAGAGCCGTCTGGGGAGGACAAGCCCCTTTCTACGACACCCCCAGCTCCACATGGAGAGCAGACACTTGAGGACAAGAGGAAGGGCGCTCACTCAACAAGTAGCTCTTTCCATCCGGGGCTTTCTGGGGCAGGAAGTAGGAGAGGAGGTTCTCGAAATAGCAGGGCAGCCGCACACTGGTCATGGGAACGCCGATGTCTCGGAAATATTCCTCCACCTCCCCTTTGCCATCAAAGTGGCCTGCTGCCAGTCTCCCTGCCGTCAGCTTCTTGATATTCTCCAGGCCGCTGTAGACCACATAGCGAAGGCCCAGGCGCTTGGCCAAATCGGCCAGCAGCTTTCCCTGGTGGGCAGGAAAGGAGAAACCACAAAGCTAGGAGGATGTGCCCCAAATCACAGACTTGGCTCTCTAACCCAGAGTTGCCACGGTGCCTGATGCTAAAAGCCCACCACCACTTACCCTAGGATAAGACCCCTTTTCCAGAATGCTCACACATGGAACCACACCCTTTAATATGGGATTATAAGCCTCTACCACCCACAGAACCTGTGCCATCACTTCTCTAGATCAGGGGTCAGCAAACTTTTGAGACAGAAGAGCCAATCCTGTCCCTCACAACAATTTAAAAATTATTCGAGAGCCATAAGACAAATGAAATCACCATTATGTGAATAATATCCTTTAAAAATTTTATAAATAAAACTATGATAGTTTTATTTTCATTTTCAATTTTACTTCAGAGCCACATGTACGTACCCAAAGAGCCGCATGTGGCTTGTGAGCCGCAGTTTGCTGACCCCTGCTCTAGCTCATCTGGGCTGTTCTACTTTCCAACATGATTGACTGCAGCACATAGACGCTTGGGTTCTAGACGCAGCTCTGCACCGCACTGTGTAATGCAGGACAAGTGCTCTGTTTTGGTTAAACGGGGACAGCAACACTACCTGCTGCGTTAAGCTGTGTAGGGGGTTAGATGGTGGCCTCCAAAAAGATATGTCCAGATCCTAACTAACCCCAGAACTTGTGAATGTGACCTCATTTGGGAAAAAAGGTCTCTGCAGATATAATTAAGGAACTTGAGATGAGATCATCTGGGATGACCCAGGTGAGCTCTTAGCCCAAGGACAACTGTCCATATAAGAGACAGAAGACACAGAGAAGGCCATACGAAGACAGCGGCAGAGACTGGAGTGATGTGGCCACAAGGAAAACGAGCAGCCATCAGAAGCTGGAAGAGGCGAGGAGTGGAATCTCCCTTAGAGCCTTTGGAGGGTGCACGGCCCTGCCGACACCTTGATTTTGGACTTCTGACCTCCAGAGCCAGGAGAGAATAAATTCCTGTTGTTTTAAGCCACCCAGGTTGTGGTCATTTGTTATGGCAGCCATAGGACACTAATATAGGCTGTCAGGATAATGAGATCTGCTTCAACCAGAGTGTCTTTGTCCACTCCATGGGATGGGCTTCCACGTAAGATGTAACTGAAGAAAGTGGCAAGGCTAAACTTCAAGTTTGGACCAGTGGTTCAGTCTAGTGTCCCTTTATTTTACAGAGGAAGAAAAACAAAGACTACAGCAGGGAAGTTATATGTCCAAAGTCACAACCGTGGTTAGCTGTGGACGAGGCAGGATTGAAAGCTGAAGTGCTCGATTCTCAGCCTGGTGCCTTTCCTCTAGTACCAACTGTACATTCCACACTGTGCAAATGTCCTGATTGTCAATGAGACAAAAAGACAGCCATGTCTCATGGTTCCTCTCATATTCCTCCCTTGCCACCTGGGTTCAATAACCACCTAACCAGAGAGAATATGGGTTGAAAACAGAATAAAGGGAAACATAAAACATGTGAAAGGGGACATGGGGGACTTTCTGGAATGATGGAACTATATTTTGACCAGGTGACAGTTATATAGGTACATTTATTTTTAAATTTCATCCAACTATACAATTAAAATGTGTGCATTTTATAAGAAAATTATCGATCAACAGAGTTAGGTTTTTAGAAAGTGTAAAGTCATTGGATGACATAGATTAATGGGGCAGGTGTAGTGGGGAGTGACTGCTAACAAGTACAAGGTTTTTTTTTAATTGGGGAATTGGGGAATGGGAACAGCGCTGGGGAATTGGGGAAGGGGAACAGACAAGTTGCTGTCTTTTTGTTCTTCAGTCTAGTTGTGGAGGACGTTGCTTCACTGGCCCAA